GATAATTTCACTCTATCAATCTGAAAAGTTCACCTCTTGATTCTAAAGAAGTATTTAGCACAAAACCAAATTAAGTTGCAGTCTTTCAACAAAATAAGAACTAGTTGGTTGTTTTTTTTTTTTTTTAAGGAACAGTGTGCCTAAGCAATCAGCTAAAATATGTTCGGTACATTTAAAAATATTGATTGAGTATTTCAGAGGAGGTATTTGTCAATGTTCACAGCATAGATATTCGAAGGGTTGTATGTTCTGGTTTATTTCCCATAGGACAAAACTAAAAGGACAGTTCTCATAATCTTAGTGCAAAGCACTTGGCTAACCAAGTGTTTGTGTCTTCCCTGCTCACTGAGGTGCTATGAGAATCTGAGCTCTTAGGCGAATCAGTGAACCTTCCTAGGTTTCTCACTTATGCCCAGTGAGCTAGTTTTACAATCAGCTGTTTGGGGTAAAAAAAAAAATCACATGAAGGTAACTACAAAAATCAGATAGTCGAAATATGTCTTGCTCTTAAAGAAAAATTTTTAAAAAACATTCCTAGGTTTGAGCACAGATTTAGCTGGAAACCGAAATTGCACACCCAAAGGCTGTAACTCTGAATCATGCCACACTCTAGTAAAGTAACTATAATAAGAGTGGGAGAGGCGACACTTAACAATAAATATAAACTCATCTGGAGATATCACAGCATGATGCCTAGGACAGAACATGCAATCCAGCGTCATATCCGCAAAGCTAGACTTGACCACTTAGAAACTATGTGACCTTGAAGAAGCCACTTATATCTCTCTAAACCTCAACTTCCACCACCACAAAGAGAGGTATATGTTACTACCATTTAATAGAAATATAAGAGCAGCCAAATACATATAATTTTAAATATTGTAATATCCATACTTTCAAAAACCATGTAAACTTAATAAATGTATTCTCATTTCATCTGCACACTAAAATGTTTTGCATATATTTTATAGATCTAAAATGGTATCAGTGCTAAAACATAATCAATATAAAATTAGAGATATTATACGGATATTATAGAGATATTATACTTTCATTGTAGTAAGTCCTTGAAATACGGTGAGCATTTTACAGTGGCAACACATTATGCGTTTCAGCTTAAAATTATTTCCCATTTTCAACAGATCCACATGAATCATGGCTGCTATAACGGATAGCACAGATTTATATCTAATCCATTGAGTTGTGGTAAGAATAAAATTGAATAAACCAGTAAAGTGCTTAGGGAAGTGCTTAGCAAATAATAAGGATTAAAACTGGTAGTTGTCTACCACATAACCTATTTACCATACCGAGGAGACTCCAAAAATGTATGGCATTGGCGCCTTGTCCCTGGGTAATTACAGTTAAGAGTGTCAGGCAATATGCATCACTAACTGCAATGCAAAACATTCTGTTACTACATGAATGGCATGAATAAAATGAAATAATCAGAGGAGAAGGATCTTCTAGGGAATCCTTGGAGCAACTTGATGAAGAAAATCACTTTGAACTGGAGTTAATAGGTGTTTTGACACTAGTGGAGATGACATGGTTAGGGATTTGGGGGAACAACTGACAACAGTATTCCACCAGAGAGAATAATAAAACCAATAATGCAAAGATAGGAAAGTAGAAAAAACAGATCCAAGAAATGATGGCTAAAAGGTGGGGAGCACAAGGTTCTTACAATAGCACACTTCAGTAAGTAAATGCCGATTGGCTTTGAAGAATAAGTTTCAAAAGCCACACTGAGATACGTATTTCATGTTAGAAGGAACTGTTGGAACACTGCTCGGAAGCCAAACAGAACTTCAGCTGGATGCTACAAAATATGATAAATTATTTTCTTACCTTGGTGGGAGTTCACTTCTCTGCACTGTTTCATTTTTAAATGAGGCAGCTCTATCTTAAACAGAAACAAAACAAAAAACTAAAAATCAATTCCAAAAGACCTTTCTTATTGCTGTTGCTTTTGCAGCAGTTTCTCTCCATATCCTAAGATTATATTCCTTGGTCATTAATATAACTGGATTTAAATGTGAAATTGCACCCTAAGTATTACTTTGAAATCACCTCAGGAGTTGCAAATTCTAAAAAATAAGAGTCTAATACTGTAGGCTAGAAACAAATGTGAGGATTACAGAAAATCAATGATAGCTACAACTTTGGTCAAGGATGGAAAAGGGAAGAAACTGGAAATAAATTATACTACACTTTGGAGTTTGGAAAGCAGAGTAAATTCATGATAGAAATGGGAGAACCAGGAAATTAATTTCACTGGAGAGAGGGGAAAGGATATAAAATGAGTTTAATTATCAGACAATTAGGTACAATCTTCAGTGTATAAAATATACATATGAGGATATATGCTTAAGCGTTAGTGTAATATATGAGGGGTGACACCTGGAAGCCAATGGATGTACTAATTTCAGATCTGCCAGAATGGAAACGTCAATACTGAATGTAATTGTTATGAGATTTACATGCATTATTATACTCAAGAACTTATTTTTCCAAAAGAATTTAGTGACCCAGAAGACCCCAAAATGTCACAGCTGAGTCTTAATTTATGAAGGAGACACTGATGTTAGCATGTAAAGCAAAACTTTTTGAACAATAAAAATTCCCATACATATTCCAGGTGGAGCCCCTCAAGTCTCATTTTTTTTATTTACTAAAAGAAGAGACTACATTTCCCTGGACTAAGGCAAGAGGTAAAATGGGAGGCAAATTGTAGACCCCTAGACATTCAACAACATAGCCACTATCAGCACCTTCCAGTAGACACAAAGGACAAAGAAATGGGCTCATGTATTTTGTATGAAAAATCGTCACAGGGGTTTTTGCACTCCTGTTTGTAATACTTCCTAACTCTGTGCAATGAGATATATTAAAGACTGATTATGTCTAGTTCTGTGATTGTAAAATATATTGCCAAAATACAGACTCCTAGAATTAAACAGGAGGTAAGTGTATAACAGATTCAGGTGTCTTAGCAACTCAGAATGTATGCTCCAAAATCATATTACTATTAATAAATGTGAATATCTAAAAGTAAAAATCTTTTCATGGCTTATGTATTTCATTTTCATATTCATAATCATAACATAAACTTGCTGATTCCAAACTATGCTAGCAAAGACAAATTTTTGAAGCACCTGAGGCATAGTACCTATGAATTTTATAATACTATCATTAGGGTCCAATGTTGTCATTTTTCTTCTTTTTGGAAAAGGGTTTTCAAAAATTACTAAGCACTTTCTCTAAAAAACAATTCCCAATGGTGATTTTTACAGATTTGGCTGAAACAAAAGATAATGATATAAAGCTAAATTATTTTCTGTTTTATTGGCTTTTTGTTTTGTTTAGTTTTTGAAATAGAAAACAATATATGATACCTTAGAAAACAACAAATAAAGACTAAAAGAAAAAACCATGGTATCTGTCTAATCCTTAGGAATGCCACAAAACAACAATTGCCTACAGAGAAGAGCAAAGTGTGAAATCCATATGTAGTATCTCTGTCAGCAAAGACTTAGTGAAAGAGAGTTTATAATAAATATTTGTACCTTCTGCTGTGGACATTCTAATCCATCCAAAGAACCTTTGTTGTGCCAGGGTTTGTTCTAGATGAAGAAGCCAAATAGTTATAAAGGTTTACAAATAGGTCATTTCATGGTTAGATATACTCTTCTACCTTTTGTCTATATTAGAGCTGTCCAAAATAATTGGCAGCAGAAATTGTGATTAAATTATTTCTCCATGTTTTCAGATTGACGTCATTCTAGAATTTTTATAATGAAATGGACTAATCCTACTTCTAAAGTTTATTAGCTACCCCAAATCTACCAGAAAGGCATCCTTGAAAACAATGGTGTATATATATATATATATACTACATTTGGGAAACATAATGATTAAAAAATCCAAGCAGAGAATTTGAAGTGATTGTCATGGCATACTTAGGAACAAGTTTCTTACTCTAACATTCTCTTTCAGCATGGAGTTAACAGTAGAAAACAGAATCACATGACATTATGCATATCCACCACTGCATATGGCATCTATCATGCTGAGACTTTAATTATTAATCAAATCTATGTCTTATTGCTGAAATGGTAAAATGCCTCTTAATTGTGATTAGATGACCCCGTGGAGTGTGTACCATGATAGTTCTTATTTGTTGCATGTACTGAGTTTATCTAAATACGTTCCATTATGTTCCTGAATAATTTGCTGTTGGATTTCTTTGTTTGAAATATTAATTAAAATTTACTATTGATTGGTTTTTCACTTTGAAGAAATGTTCCACTAGAAAATGCATAAAAATTGTAAGAATTAACAAAAATTAAGTTGAACAGAATTTTTAATTTTAAGCTAGAGTATAAAAATCAAAGTTAGTTTGAAGTGGGAATTATTTATTTTAAATTGACAAAAGAATTTATTTTGGTTCATGAGTATCATAATTTTGAGGCAGAAATGAAACTTTACATCCTTTAAGTAATGTTAACTCATTACTTAAAATTACAAGCTAAAAAGAATATAAATTTTTAATTATACTCTGTAAAATAGTTACCTATATAGATTATATTTTGACAAATTCTAACACATATACCTTTTAAAATTCTAATGCATAATTTATCAGAGAAAGGAATTTCTTTACTTTCAACATAATATTAAAATTATGTAAATCACAGATATTAGGAAATTAGCAAGCCTTTTGATGACCTGTGCATATAAAACATGATATTTTACTTTATTTCTTCATTATATAATTTCATAATCTGAACACTGAGGTGTCTTAATTTTGAGTCAATTATTTTCTGTATAGTGAAGTGTTATATATTTAATAACTAATATCCAAAGTATAATACATTGCTTGGCAATTGAAACAAATTAGAATGTTTCCATTATGTAAAGAAAAAAAACAACCCTTGAAATATACTTTGATGTTTTGATTCTCAATCTCATCCTTTCTCCTTTCCCCCTTGCTTCCGCAGGTCGAGTTTTAGCCCAGGCGAGTGGCAATGGAGTTATCCATCTGCTAGATCTTAAATCTGGACAGATTTACAAATTGATGGGCCACGAGAGTGAGGTGCAAACAGTCGCCTTCTCCAACAACAGTGAGAGACTGTTTTCTGGAGGCTCTGATGGCACAGTTCGAGCTTGGTCTTGAACGTCAGCGTGTCTTGTTGCGGAGGGCATTCCCTCTGAAGCTTGAAAACAACTCCCACACCAGTAAATAACTGGTTAAATATAGCAGCAGATAACACTTGTACTTTCTGTAAAAACATGCTTTGGACATATATTTCAGTGTCCATACTATTTCCAATAAAAAATAACTTTCTGCTCATTTATTGGTGTATAAGTCTTTTCTTTCACTCTCATTTTAAAAAGATTTTACACACAGAGCATTTCTGCCAGGAGATGGGAGAAAACAGCTTCACAATGACGCCTAATGACAGACTAGACGAATTACAGGAGATTGATTTTTAATGTTAGAGAAACTGCATGCAGGAAAATCCAGCTACTTTTTTTTTTTTTTAATCAAACCCAAGCTGTAGGAAGACCTTAAGTTTAATCTTGTAGCAATGAGAAACTCTGTAAACAAAAGGGTCAAATAGAATAGATGCGCCCACGTGTTCACATTTTTGATGATGATTATGCTTCATCTATTAATAATAACTGCAGATGACTTAAATCCAAATGCGAGTCTCTTCCGGAACTTTAATCTTTGTAGCTCGTCCAATCCATTATGTATAGTCACATTTTAAAAAAATGTTTTAATTTCAATGCAAATTATTATCTTGCACGTAGAAAGCCTTTCTCCCCCCTCCTCATGCACACGTCTGTTGTATAAAGTGCGACTGCTTAGAGAACACTCCAGCCAGGTCTAAAGAAGCAGCTCAGGATTTTGAGCTGGGCTCCGAAGCCAGTTGTTGGCGCTGTCCGTGGTGCTGAGGAATTCCCGGCTGCCGGCAGAATGAGCTCCACATCAGCAGTCTGCAAACTGCTCTCACTGATGCAGAAACCCAGCTAAAGTTGCTCCTTTCCTACACGTCCACAGTTAGCGCTTTCTGGTGTGTAAGAGGGGATTCAAGCAACCTCTTCTGGACGATGCTGATGCTGTTGCCAGCGGAGCGGGCTTTAAGCTACAGCATGCTGTTGCTGTTTCTGAGCCTCAGAGTCTAGCCAAATCACCTCTACTGCCGTAGCAAACACTGTGTAAGTGAACTCATGTGTGGAGGAGGCGTCATCAGCCGGGAAATTTCATAGAAGGATCTAAGAAAATGCTAAAAATAAGTTCAACATGATTCTGCTACTGGAGAATCCTGGATTTCTACAGGACCAGCCTTGCTTTTTGCTTTGAATTCTGAAGAGAGGTCCAAGGCATATTTCTTATGTGTGCCTGCTGTGTTTTCTCTGGAAGGGTGAGAGGCTGCTTCTTGACTGTGTTTTGAAATGGGAGGTAGAGAGAACGGATTGCCTTTAATTCATGCCTGAACATGTATTCTTTGATGAAAGAGGAGCAGCTTTCCTAAAACATACCTGACCTTTTAGTTCATATCAGTCTCTGACCCCCACCACCACCATTAACCTCCTGAGTGATTAGGTAAGTGTATCTTATGACATGAGTTATTCTTGTATTATCAGAGAAACAGATTCAGTCAATTTAAATTATGTTTCAATATGGGGAGGGGGGAAAGTTAAACTGGAAAGTAATTCTCAGTTTGGCAATGTTTGCTCTCTTATTTAAAAAAAAATAATCTCCAGATAAACATTTTATTTGCTTTTTGGAATGTTTCTTTTCTGGAATAATGTCTGAAATTGCAATAGAGCAGGTTAATTATGAATGCATTTGTCTAAAAAATTAACCAAAGAACTTTCTTATCATAAAGTCTTATTTTCTCCATGCAGATTTTAAAATGGATTTCATACTATAAAAGCATTCCAGCAATCATACAAAGCGAATATTCCACTCATGTTACTACTTTGCAGTTTACATTTACCATAAGCTGACTTATTAATGCCTACCTGTAGCTTACAAAGAGATCATTTTCTGTCCATGTCCTTTTGAAGCAGAATCATATGTGTGTTTTGTGTGGCTCATCTTGCATGCTCTGACAGATACTGCTGGGATATTATAAGGAAGCATAGTAGTTTCCTTTCTTCCAAGATAAACTTTCTAAATATAAGAGAGATGTAGAAAATCCTTGCTTTAATTGGTAAAATGAAGTTGTGCTTTTTTTCCCCAAAAGCTTGTATTTGTGGCCTCTGTAGTAATTTAAGAGAAAAAAAAATGCTTTGTCAAAGGTAGCTGCTAGCTTCAAGTAGAATTATAGGTTTGCATTTTCTTGTTCTACGATGACTCATTATTTTTCACAAATTTTTAAAGAAATCCATCTCCTTTATCATCACCCACCCAAAAGGAATTCTAGTGTCATAGAATATTAGGGGAATTCTAATTACATTTTTTTCTCTGAACAGAAAGCATGAATATGTTACCTTCAAATTTCACTATTACAAAATTTGCATATCTAAAAATGCAGATATAATAGTTTATGAAGTTTTGTAATGTCATCTGTACTATTTAAAATGATCATCCATGTGTGTCAGATTTTAAAAACATGGTTTATCCATGTTATTCATGTAATCTGAAAATAAACCAGTGGATAGTATTTATAAGTTATCAGAAAACACTCCACATAGCATCTTGCTGATATTGGCTTTAAGCCAATAGCATTTAAACAGACAAACTCTGACACTACTTTGTCTCATCCAGTTGCCTGTTTCCCCAGAGCACATGTGAGATTTAGTTACTCTAAACATTTAAATAGCAGCCCACTATTAACACTGCACACTAACCACCAATACTAAGTAAACTTGACAACAGCCATTGTCATTAAAGTAATAAATATTTTATGTGAATAGTAATGCCGCATTACTATTTTGAAAAACTTCAACTAACTTTTATCCAGACATCTTTGTCTGCATAAATTGCCTACATGCAAATATATTTCCCCAAGAGTCGTTTTCAAAACCATATTATATGAAAGCAATTCATAAATGATCATATTAATGTCAGTTTCAACTCACTGTTAAAAAAAATAAATTCATGGATACATCTCTCCTGCCCACTAGCAGCTTACTTCCTAAGTAAAATTGAATGCAGGCAACAATACAAATAAATTTGTTTTTAAGACATATTTTTAATACCTAGATTTCTCATATAATTTTCTTCTCTATTCACTGTGAACTAGTTAAACACAGTAAATGTCATTATCTATGTTCACAAGGCATGTTCACTGGAACAAGTAATTGTCTTAAGACTTTTGTTTTTCTGATTAAGGGGATAGCAACATTGGAAATACCAGCTCCATCTCGGTTATGCTTAGTGTCATCTGATAGCTTACTCCCTTTCTTCTCCAGTCAGACTCGTCTCACTAGTTCCAACTTTTGATGCAGATGATTGTAGCATGTATATATTACTCTTCATTATTACTGGATGGTCCAATTTAAAGAAAAAAAGGGAAGGAGCTTAAACATTTTTTTGGTTATTTTTAAGTAACTACTTAGAATCACCTTTTGGGGCATAGTAATGCAACTTAACAAAAAAAAAATTTTTAAATAGAACTTTAAAATTTAGCACGGCAATTCAAACTGAAGTTTTCTATTTATAAGAATGCCATGCAAGACAAATTTTGATGCATGTGTTATATTAAAAACTTCATGGTAAACTACAGACAGTTGCATGAACTTACTTGTTTTGAAATTGAAGTGCCTTCAGTTAACTCATTTGGTTTAAGAGCGTGGGCTCAATTTAATCTATACTCTCCTATGTATGTTCAGATTATTCTTTTTAAACATTTATTTTCAGCCTCCCCCTCTCGTATCCCCATGGAAGGAGCTGAATCAGTTTCATATTAGGAGCACTTCCAGAAGTCTGTGAAGAAGGGGATGGCTCTTCATGTACATGAAGCTTGTGTACTACTATTGGTTATCCCTGGACTGGTCACTTCTGCTGCCATCAGCCATGAAGACTATCCTGCGGATGAAGCTGACCAGCTCTCCAACAATGACAATTTGATCTTCGATGACTACCGAGGGAAGGGGTGTGTGGATGACAGTGGATTTGTATACAAGTTGGGGGAACGATTTTTCCCAGGGCATTCCAACTGTCCCTGTGTCTGTGCTCTGGATGGACCTGTTTGCGACCAGCCAGAATGCCCTAAAATTCACCCAAAGTGTACAAAAGTGGAACATAATGGATGCTGTCCTGAATGCAAAGAAGTGAAAAACTTTTGTGAATATCATGGGAAAAATTACAAAATCTTGGAGGAATTTAAGGTATGAGTTACCCTCCATACTTACTGAATACTAACCTTTCATATCACATTCTTAGTAGATTACTATTGAAAACTCAAAGCTCAGAAACCATAATTTACATTTTTCTAATATTTTAAAAAATGTGTTTCTAATTTGCAATAGGTATTACCATGGTCTATCAAGTTCCAACAGATTTCTGGCCAGAATGTGTGGAATTGCACAATAACCATTTTCCTCACAAGTATTTAGAAAATGTCTAATGTATTATTTTTTGCCTTAAAATATTTCTTGGGTGTTATTACAAAATGTTTTCTAAAGGAAACAATTTATTAGCAGGTTATGTATAGATTAAATTTTCTTAGATTTTTAGATATTTTTGTATCAGCCTGTGTTTGAGATTATTTAATTATACTTTTTTTTAATATATGAACTATTATTAGTACTTAGACATATTAAGAAAATCACATTTGATCTACTTGTTGAGCAAGGTGTCCATTCGGCTTGGTTTTTTGCAATTTGTTTTAACTTACAGGACTCTACAAAGAACCAAATTCAAATTTTGTCACAGTCTTTTGTGAAAAGTAGCAAAAAGTCTAATTTTTCAGTCTAAATGTTATTTCTTATATGATATAGTCAAGTAATTTGGAGTTTATTTCTTATCTCCTCTTGGGCTCTCATTTCTCCAATGGCTGGCTGAAATTGGTGTGTTCTACAAGCCAAATCAAAATCCTGAAGGTATAAATGAATACATAAAAGATGTTATTTTAAAATATGGCAGTCTGCGCCTCAGAGTATCTCCCAAACAGGTGGCTGATTTAAAAGGTTCTTGTCTAACAACCTCTTTGACAATGTGCTTGGGACCTTAGTAGGCAAGAGAAAAAAATAGCGAGTTTTCAGCAGGGTTGTTTTTTTTTTTTTCACTTTTTTTTTAATAGAAATTGTGTTTAGTTATTAGCACTGGCACAACTTTTGTTTCTACCAGAGTTGTTCATGTGGCTCCAGAACAAACATGGTGAAAA